GAGCGAAATTATTCACAGAGAAATAAACTTTTTCTTTTTGCTCGCAAAACCCTGAACGAATCTTATAGTCTTTGAACAAATTTCACAGCACAATTTATAATTTGTATTAACAGACTGCACAGAATGCAGAAATTCAAGCTAGCGAATGTTAAATTTAGGAATAAATTATGTTTGGAAAACAAATTACAACGATCGCTAGACATAGATTACCACATCAACGCGATCACACTGTGCATTCTGTTGCTGAGAAATGGCAAGGTCGGGAAAAAATGGCAGGAATAACATCAAAATTTGAGGGAAGGAAGCGAAGGAGGGAAGCGATACTCCTTGCGGTTCTTGGAAATCTCAGGCGGGTCTACGTTACTTGTAAATAATGTCAGATACAACCCCTAATTTCAATAATACTTGACTTTCCAAATTTCATAGCATCGATGAGTCGGGCAACATATAGCTTAAATTTTACAGTAAAAAAAAAAAAAATTGACAGGAAAACTGATATGTTATCAAAACTTATAGCACTTATTACAAGAATACACAAGTGCTTTTGGAAAACTGACATGAATAATCAGCTGAAAGATTTGGAAAAAATCTAGCAAACTGTAAAGCTTATCAACGTATAAGTAAAGATTACAGAACAGGAAGGAAAATTGTATAAATTAGCTCATTTACACGTATCCAACTGGAAAGACAAATGATAAACGATCGGTCCACTCTAAACCTTTGGCTCGTTCGAACTGAAAGAATATTTCCCATGCCATGAGCAGCAGCAACCACAAAGAGGCGCCGATAATTGAATACAACACATCTGAAAAGCCGCAAAACCAGTAACAGAAAAATAACCGCTATCGCCATCTCGGAAGAGCCTCTTTTTTCGTTGTTTTTGTTTATCTTTGCTACGCTTGTCACACATATCACGTTTTTTTACTTAATAAGCTTCGTCTAATTGCAAGCCACAAAAACTTTTGCGCAGAATTCGAAAAACCATAGTATAACAAAGAACAGCAATGCCTCAATACCAGTTTTTTTTCAGGAAAGCAACATCCCCTAAAAGGTGAGCACCCAGTCACCTTTCATGTTTTCTCCCACCCGCCTCGGCTAGAATCCTTTAATTATTATGACTGGCATTAATCCGGATGATGACCAGTCATCACGGCATCGAAACGTCGTCGTAATTACGTAAGACTAAAAAAAATTCACAAAAAGTATTCTTAGAAGTATGTGGAATTAAAACAAACATCGCCTGAGAATCTTCTGAACTGGTGATGGCTCAATGAATGCGCATCTAAAGAACCAGACTGCATTAACAATCCAAACCAATGGCAACAACGCAAATCCGATATAGAAATAGCGCCGGCAAAGAGTCACTTTATCCGCATTTGACATCTTTTTTAAATCCATTGTATCCTGAAGATACCTTTTATTTTCTTTAAATCAGCCTATTTGCTAATGAGCCGTCAAATCCAAAAGTTTTCCGCGCCTTTTTTCTGCCATATGACGCCAAAATCGTTATTATTGGACGAAAAATATGAGTGACCACAGTATATTTGGAGAGGTGTAAGCTGGAAAAGTTCCAACTATTGTAAATCCCCGACTGCACAGCAAAAACCAAGAGCAACAGAGGATTTCACTGCTCAAATCGAATGATTTGTACAAAAATGTGGTGCAAAAATAGGAACATCAGGGGGGGCTGCTAAAAATAGCTAAATGCAATAACTAAGGAATGTTGATATTATTTTCTCAGCTTAAAAATCGTGATTCTGCGAATTAATCAAAAAACACGCATAAAATTTAACAAATTTTTATAATTTCAAAACTATCCATCGGTAATTCGCAGGAACTCTAACAAGGTTAGTAAGTCAAAGTATGCCTGCAAAAACATGTATTTTTGTGTAAAAACGGAAAGGTAATTTCTGGTATTGATGAGAAATGAATCTCATTACCCAAATCGATTGCTTCAGCAACTGTTTATGGATGCTGTTTGAGAACTACAAAACATGCATTACGCGTACGTATATTCAACCCGTACAACACATTTAGTATTAAAGGAATTAATGAAATCATTTTAGTCCTTCGTTTATATAAAAAGATTGTACAACGTGAACAAATTGAAAAATTCGAATTAGAAAAAAAATTACGCATGTCTAATTAATAACCGGTGTTAGGTCCCCATGTGGTCTCCGACTGCAGCAGCAGAAGACAGGGGAGAATACCAGCACTTTATTTTTCCAAAAAAAGCTTCGATTTGAATAAAACGATGAGTAAAACGACGAGAAGGGGCGCTGCACCAAGCTGTTCAGCAGAAAAGGGACGCTAGTGGTGTTGAGGCGAGATGCTAGTAGCGTTAGTCGAGGCAGGACGTAGTGGACCAATGGCGCATGTTGATTCCCAAAACTAAGGGGCTGGGTTTTAGGAAGGGGTTTATATAGGGAAAATAATTTCATATTACCTACCTTCTCACTCACTAACTACCTTATACCCTCCTTTAAAAGGAGGGTAAGGTAGTTAGTGAGTGAAAAGGTAGGTAATATATAATTATTTAGAATTTGGTGAAATTGTTAGAAATTAGTGAGTGGAGGGAAGTAGGTCGAAGTGTTAAGGATTAGTGAGAGGAGGGAAATTGAACTGTAGGGTTTCACCGGCGTATTAATTCTTAGCAAAGCTGGGAAATGAGTATTCTATGAATTCATATGGATGTGAATGGGAAGGTATGTATTAAAAGAACAAATACAACTCCGCTAGATGCATCCCAGAAACGCTGATAATACTGGAGGCCAAAGTGCTATAAAATAAGCTACACGAAAAAATCAGATTACAGGTAACATGTCAACAAAGTTCGTGTAATGGCAACTGATACGCTTTGACCAGCTGTTGTTTCATTGCCGTATTTTTTCACGCCGCTAATGCAGCTGGCAACTGCTCCATTGGCCGGGAACGGTTATGAACTATAAACTGATATATGCAAGTATTATAAAAGACAACTAAATCAATTACACCAATTCGATGTATGCAAAGAAATCTATTACTCCAGACTGCATACCGGATGCGAAGTACTTGAATAACAAGGAATTAGAAATCATTCTCACTAACAAAAAATCTGCTGACAAGAAA